AGCAGAAACACGGCATTTGGTTCTCTTTGGGGCATAGTTCTCAGAATGGCCTTGAACTTGCTGCTACTGAGATCTGGCTGCTGAGTCTAAGATGTTTTTTCTATGAACACTGAAATGAAATATACATTGTCGCTTCTCATAGCCTCCCTTGAACCTTCTGTACAGATGCCAGGCTCTTTTGCACCACAGCTCCTCCATCATGGTCGTATTGGAATTTTAGCAGGGCAAATTCTTTGTTAATGGATAGTTGGCTTTCTATTATAAAATGGTTACCATCATGCCTGACCTGTCCCCAGTAGATACTGATAACATCCACCTTTTGTAGTGGTTGTAAACAAACACATGACAAACCCCATTTTGACATTGTTGCTAAATGTCCCTGTGGGGAAGAGGGTAGATGATGCCTGGTTGAAAGCCATGTCCTTAGACTGTGAGCTCTGGGAGAACAGATTCCATTTTATTTAAAGTTGTAACATTGTGCCAGTTTACCTTCATGTCTGCTCAGGAAGGCACACAGAAAAAGCATCTGAGCCAAGCTGAATTAAAGGACAAAGTTTCGCTGTGGTCTGAGAGCCGCCTCCTGCTCACCATCATGTCCCAGTTACAGAGACCCAGTGGCAAAGTAGACCAAGTGTGGCGTGGCTGGGAAACAGGCTCAGCCTCAGGGGGGAAATAAGTGTTGACAAGCAATATATTATGACAGTCTCATCTGGTGCTGGTACTGAGTTTAAAGGGACAATTGAAGCTCTGCCAGATTGCCACAGAGCCCCAAGATTATGAGATGGAGGGAGAGAAGCATGCATTTGCGTCTCTCTCTCTCTCTCTCTCTCTCTCTCTCTCTCTCTGTCCCTTTCTAGGTCCTTTTCTTTTACCTCTACCCTTAGCTGGAGACTTTTTCACAACATAATTCTCTCTTAACTTTGGAGTTGACATTTTCATATCTCAGGCTTCCTGTAGATTGTACATATGAGTTTATATGTATGTACATGTTATTATGCACATACGTGTCTGCGTGTTCATATACACCTGCGTGTAGGCGGGTTTGTACAGGTGGAGGCCAGAGGGTAATTGTAGATGTTCTTTGGAAGCTGTCCACTTAGTCCTTTGAGAAAGGCTTTCTCACTGAGACTTGGAGTTTGCCATTAAGCTAGGCTGGTTGGCTAGAAATTCCCAGAGATCCGTGTATCTCCACCTTCCCAGTGAGAAGATTACAAGTGTGGATGAGCCCTGCTTTGTATGCGGTTGACAGGTAATGAAGATAATGCTTGTACGGAAAGCAGTTTACCCATCAAGTTGTCTCCCAGCCCCTCTTGCAGGTTTTCTGATTTCTGGGAGGTGCCATTGTGTTAACCACCAGAGAGTCCACAGTACCTCCAGACCCAGACAAGACACAAAAAGTGCTGGTGGTATGTGGTCGTGTGGATCAGTGATGAGACACTGGCCTGGGCCCTTCCAGGGAAACTGTCTTCTGGGAAGCTAGTGGCATAGTCCTTTCTACAGGTGATAGACCAGGGGCACATCAGCTCAGTTTGGACAGCTGGTCTTTGGAGCTACTTCTCACCCTGTAAGTAAAGCTGTGCACCCAGAAGGCAGGCGTTCTTTTCTTATGAGTCTCCAACTAAAGCATGAAACTACTCTATCAAAACTCTCTCAGCTTGCCCTGCACCCCTCTGCTGCGGGAAGGTGTACAGCTAGCGACTACCCGCCTACTGGGGCACGGCCTCATAGACTATTTACCAGTTGTTTCTATGATTGTTGCATGTTTTGGAAGTTGTTTGATTGCACTTCCTAATTACTCATGTAACATTATTTCCCTTCTCGGATCTTCAATGGGGTTGAAGACTAGATGAATATAGTTACCTTCCTCTCATGACTTGACCAAGTTATTTATTATACAAGACTTAAGCTTGTTAGAATAGGATATTTATTCTTATTGTATATAATTTTGTAGTAGATTTAGAACTCTCTTATTTAAACATAAGGGGGAGGTGCTGTGGGAAGGTGTATAACTAGCAACTACCCGCCTACTGGGGCATGGCCTTATATTTACCTGGATGCAGAAGCATGTCCGGCCCCTTCCTCTCTGCTTCCCTCTGGACCCCGTTTGCTGTTAGGTTTGCTTTGGATCTGATCTTCATCCATCGTTCAAGCAGAGAATCCTGACTTTGTAAGTTTTACCTTTTAATAAACAATCTATTACTTAGTTCTGAGCTTGTGTGGGATTCCTTTTTTTTATAAGCGTCCTATCTCTTTGCCTTCACCAGTCCCTGTATCAAAAGAGTCATTAATATTAGTTGTCCCGGGCTGGAGAGATGGCTCAGAGGTTAAGAGCACTGACTGCTCTTCCAGAGGTCCTGAGTTCAATTCCCAGCAACCACATGGTGGCTTACAGCCGTCTGTAATGAGACCTGGCACCCCCTTCTGGCTTGCAGGCACATGTGGAAGGAATGCTATACACATAATATAATAAATAAATAAAAATAAAATAGTTTTAAAAAAATATTAGTTGTCCCGATTGCCTCTGTCTCGTTTCCCTTGAATTCCACCACCGGAATCTTAGCCCCTTCAGGTGGCAGAAGATTTCTCTTGTCAAGGTTACTATGACCCGCCAGTTGTGAAAGGCACGGTCAATTTGCATGCCCATCTCAATCCATCACCACTTAGCTCAGGTGATCATCTGTCTTCTTTAAAACACTTTATGCCTTTGGCTCTCAGGACATTATAGGTTCAAGGTTCACCTCCTCCATCCCAAGGCCACTCCTTCTCTGCGGCTGCCACTAGCCCTGTCTCATCTTCTCCCTTCACTACAAAGCTCTCTTCTCCAAAACTCGCTTCATCTCTCCTCACTGCTCCTTCCCTCTTTTTCCACATATGAACCAGTCTCTTAGCAACTCACGCACACACACACACACACACACGCACACGCACACACACACACACACACACACACACACAGAGAGAGAGAGAGAGAGAGAGAGAGAGAGAGAGAGACTATATACAGTCTGAACGTCTTTAAACTCCAGTTGCCTACATTTGATTGCCTTTTCAAAAATGTATTTACTGTACTGAAAGAATCCAAACTCATAGCTTCTGTCCCCAAACTTAATCCTGAATTCTATTCCATCTCAGCAAATGGCCCCTTGTGTCTTTGTTGCCTAAACTGAGCACCTTGGAGTTTGTCCTCTTAGTCTCTATATCCAGTCCTTCAACAAAGCCCTTGAATGTCCCATGGTCCAGTCACTTCATCTCGGCTTCACCACTTGCCCCCTCCATTCCTAACGCCAGCATTCTCCATTGCAAAGGAGCTTCTTATGTGGCTTCCATGGTGCCTCCTTGCCCACTCCTCCATCCATGCTTCCAACATGGCAGCCAGAGTGATGCTCTTGACACACAGGCCAGATCCAAACACAGTTAGTTCAGCTTCCCATATTCCGAAGGAATCTATCTTATAGTAACTGCAGTCTACAGCTCCTCCATCCGAGACACTGCTGCTGCTGTGACCTCCTATTCTGCCACTGTTTCCTCCCCAGCTCTACTCACTCCTCTTGTGCTGTAGCCTCATGCGTGCTATTCTCTCCCTCCATCTTGACTTTCTTTCCTTGGAAGGGCTTCTTTTCGTGATGCCTATTTAACTCCTTCAAGCCCAGCAGTCACCTTCATCAGACAAGAACTCCCGGCCCACTGTCTGAAGTACTGTTCTTCCCACCATTTATTTTTATTTATTTTTTATTTTTTTATAATGCTGGAACCTTGTTTCCCAGCATTATAAAACAAAGTGAGCTCTGTCCACAGACTCCTGAAACATGGGTATTTAGGACAGTGACCCTTTGCCCTTGAAGTAAATGGTCTGAATTAAAAATGGGCAGTGTATACTGCTGTTTTTCTTTACAGTGTAAAATCTGATTTTTTTTCTCTATAAAGGAAGGGTCTGTTGCTAGAGACAATGGTGTGGTGTGCTGAGCACCTTCTGCACAAGCGTGAGGACCTGAGTGGGGTTTCCAGCATCCACATAAAATCTGGGCATTGCTGTGGGTGTCTGTAGATCAAGAGCTGGGGCATGGAAAAGGATGTCTGGGGCTTGCTGGGCAGTAAGCATGGCTGAAATGGCAAACTTGGGGTTCAGGGAAGTGACCCCGTCTCCAAAACAAAACAACAACGAGAGCAACTAGACAACATGGACGGCAATAGGGGAAGGTACCCTGAGATAAATCTCTGGCCTCCATACATGTATAGGCACATGTATGCATATGTGTGCATGTTAACACACACATTCACACACACACAGGGAGGGAGAGAGAGAGAGACAGAGAGAGATTTAAGATTTAGGTTTGGCTAGCATTTCCAACTACAGCATTCTGCTAATGATAATATGTATGCTGATGCTGAAGTATCTTTTGATTATATCCACTTTGATTCAGTAAATATTGATTGCTTGCCACCACGTGCCAAGTTCTGTGCTGTGAGAGAGAAATGCAAACTGCTGAGATGGATGAGGATAGACCACAGTCTAGGCTTCAAGACATTAGTAAGTGGGAAAATGTTCATATTCCTATCATTAGGCCAAGTGAGACTAATATGATATGCTATAATATAATACAATCCTCATTTCCTGAGGATATCCTCTAAGGGAATGTTCTAGGACCAGATCTGTCCACGTGGTCCACAGAACACAAGCATAGCAGGATTGCCCAACAGGGCTGGAGGTAAAGAACACCGGGAAGGCTGAAATGGGAGTAGTGGGGGAGAACTGGGCCATGGCAGAGATGTCAGCGGAGCTTGGCAGGTGGGGATTAGAGTCATGGCACTAGGGAAACTTCTAGACTGGAGGGGATGTGCATAAACACAGGTGGGAGGAAGGTTCCTAGGCTCCTTTCAGAAATGGACCGTACCCAACGTCTGGGCAGGCATGGAGCAGAAGCAGGGCTATTGGAAAGGGAGAGCGTGAGAAAAGCTGAACCATGTCAGCGGTACTGTTAATGTCATTGTTTGCTTTCCAACAGGTCGACAAACAGGCGCCTGTCGTTTCTGCAACAAGTACCAGAATAATCCAAGCCTTCCTTGCTAGGCAAAGCCTGTGTAAGTGAACTAGAAATCATCATCAAGATTTTTTGTATAAAAATACCGCAGTGTTTAGGGTATATTTCCATGTTTCCTTCAGTCTTTGAAAACTGACCACTGAGCACCATCTGTTAGACTTTCTATTAGTCCTTCCTGATGGGGAGCAGGCAGGGTTTACTGTAAAAGCCTCTTCCTGATCATGATGGTGCTTCCTCCATTCTTTCCTTCTTCTCATAAAGCCCATCTGCTGACCTCCAGGGTTTGATAAAAGCCCTCCCTCATTAGCTCCAGCAGCTGAAGCTCTGTCTGAGCAGATTCCAGTAAGAATGGCGACAGACTGAATAGCAGCAGCCCGTCTTTCCAGGCATGGGCACTGTGTCCTTAGAGGAAGCCAGCATGCTTGTGCTTGCGCATAGCATATGCACCTGGAAAATAAGGCAGACCCCATGAATTCAGGGACTGGTCTTTTGAATACCCTTCATGACAGTTCCCAGTCTGAATGAAAAATGAAAGGAAAGAAGAAGAAAGAAAGGAAGGAAGGAAGGAAAGAAAGAAGATTAAAAAAATGGAAAGACATGAGTGCTCCTAGGAATGGTGGAGGAGAAAGTGACTGCTCCTAGGAATGGTGGGAGGAGAAAGTTTATTACAGACCACAGGAAGAGTGTAGTCAAAGTCAGAGACATCTGGGCAAGTCCAGCGTGGTCATGACCCTGAGCCATGCAAAGAGAGGGGGGCAGAAAAGGGAAAGAGGATGGAGGGGAACCAGGTGCAGCAGCCAAGAGGACAAAAAGGTAAAAAAGAGGTGGGTAACAAAAACAACTGGATTATATAGGGAAAGGCAGCCCAGCCGCTGGGCTGGAGAGTTCAGAGTAGAGGGCAGGGTGTGCCAACCATAGCCTGTAACAGGTAGAGACTGAGGGATGCTAGGAGAACCTGGCAGCCAGGACCACTGTGACATGTTAAATAAGCACCTCGGCCACTTGTCCCAGGGTTTGAGACCTAACAGTCACTGACTGTGCACGGCCTTTTAAATACAGTTTTATCAGAACGTGAGACCCAAAACCAAGGTCACTGAAGGAGTCACAGAATCAAAGGATTTGAGAGCTGGGAGACACTAGTGACAATTTACTTCAATTGTCCTGGTTTATAAATGAAGGGCCTGAGGTCAGAGGAGGTTGTAGCTCCCCACAAGTCCATTAAGGGCAGAACTTGAACTTGGCTGTGGAGCTGCAATTGTTTCCACCCAGGAAGGCAGTCCTGTCTCTAAGTCCTCCTGCTTGAGTATTTCCTCGCTGACGGCTTTGATTCTCCTATTCTTCCAGGACCTCTGCCCCTTTTCTGTTCTACTTCGATAACAAAGCTTGACTGCTGTAGTAGGCCTCTTCGCTAGGGAGGAGCTCCAACGCCATCCTGGGCTCAGGCTACAGCGAGCTCTGCAGGTACAAGGTGGTGTCTGTGTGTCTTCTGGATGGTTCCAGCAGTCCTGGTACCCCACAGCCTCATTTCCTCTCCCCTCTAATGCCGTTAAGGAAGGGGTGAGCATTCGATGCAGAGGTGTTGCACGTGATTATGTTACCCATTACCAAATAAAAACAAATATGGGGAGGGGTTGAGGAATAAATGGACAGGCAAAAGGGTGGGTGAGAGGGACCAGAATCCTAGCTCTTGCTGAAGTGCAAACACTGAGTCCAGAGAGCTTCAAGTTCAGCCTGTGCATGTGAGTTCACCAACTGACTGAAAGGAGAGAGAGGAAGGGGACAAGTATCCCAATGGAAGATGTCCTAGGACTGCCATCATCCCTTCCCTGCTGGCAGTGTTTGGAGAGGAGCTTGAATTTAGTTTGTGGGGCTGCAGGAGGAAGGAGGCATCAGCCAGGAGAGTGCACCCTGCAGCAACTCCCATTGCAAAACCAGACAGATGAGGTCTCCACTGGGCTGGTGGGGTGCCCTCTGAGACTAGCTCAGCACTCTGCTCACCTCTGCTTTTTCATTTTCCTGTGGAAATTTCTCAACCAAGGCAGAGCCTCTCTTCGGGATAGCTCAGGCGGCCCTGTGCCTCCCAAAGGGTTTAAGGGCTTCTGCAAGCAAAGGCACAGCCAGCAGCAAGCCCTCCCATCTTCCGTGGGGCTCTGGAGGAGCAGGGGAGCAGGTAATTGTAGCTCTAAGCCCTGATGCTGTGGTGGCAGCCTCTGCTCTAGCTTTTACTCCACATCCCAAGGAAGCCCCAGGGAACCTGGACAAGTTGGGGCTGGGGCCCAGACACTAGGGAAGGGGTGGGGAAGGCACCCAGCAGATTTCCTGGCACTATGCCAGGCCAGAGCTGCCTGCTGTGTGCAGGAAATATTCAACATTCTGTGTCTTAAAGAGAGAGCCTGGAAAGGCTCCAAGACTATACTTAATACATCTGCTGGGAGCTACACAGACAGAAACTGGGGGTGGTGGTGGTGGTGGGGTGGGGGTGGATACGTTGTCTGCAAAAATAACCCTTGCAGGACCAGCAGAGCACACAGCATCCATAGGGTGCAGGTAATAAGCGAGCATAAAAGTCCTTTCTTAGCTCCACTTGCACACACACAATTCAAAGCTCATTTGCAACATTGGATCTGAGTTTCTGCTTTCTGATCCTGGGAGGGCAGCAGGGAATGTTATTTTAGTGGCTAGAATGTCCATCGATGTGTTTCCTTTAGCACATAACCAAACAGAGGAAGGGATGGAGAAGCTTCCATCTCACAGAGGAGGAAGCTGACCCAGAATATGTCTTGTATGTCCAAGGTGCCCAAGGCTCTGAGTTCAAGCTCCCCAAAGGAGAGTTGCGGGGGACAATCAAGTTCAAGCATGGAACATCCCAGTAAGCTTTTTCACTACCCTCTCCATCGCAGTCGACTGTGGGAAGGACACACAGTCCCTCTCCCACCCACTCAAGTCCCCTCTCTTGGAGGGGGTAAGACGCTGGGAAACTAATAACTGAGAGATACTTTTGCCCTCTGATAGAGTCGCTATTTGAGGCAATTGTAAAGACCAGAGAAGACAGAAAAAAGGCAGATGGACTTCAAATGATAACTTTCTCCAGGAGGAAGAAACCGCACCCAAACATCCTCTTTTGCTTGCCCCTCACCAGGAAAGGGAGAAAAGACTCTCTCTGTGCTCTGTCTCCCACCTCAGTGCTCCGCTGTTGTTGACTCATTCCTGTAGCTCTGCTGCCCTTGGACTTCATCTTCAACTGTAGGCTGTGTGAACTGTCTAAGTTAGAATATGTTGTGGGGGAGACTCATGTGGGAAGTAGGAATAATGGATACACAACCTTGAGGAGGCAGAATGAACATACATAGATGGAATGTATACACGGAAGTTCTCTTGGGGGTTTGTGCGGAGTAGAAGATGATTTGGGAGAAAGAAGAGAAGAAAGAACAAGTGACTGAATGTTAAAAGGATGCTTGCTTGCACAACTTAGTTTCGCTGCTTTGAATACATTCCTATATCAAAATAAATAGACATGCATATATTTACGTATACATTCATATGTTTATGCCAGCATATGTGTGCATATAGATGTACACACACATACGCACACACACGCACACACACACACACACACACACACACACAGCATAGTCTTTAAACCTGTCACCTGCTCCACTTACACTAAACAATTCCATAGCCACATTTGTCTCACCCTTGCGAGCACAGCTGGGAGTTTCAAATTTTATTAAACATCTGCATTTTTCACAGATTGCTTTTCATTTTTTTAAAGAAAAGGCCCTATTTAATTGCCTTCAGTAACAGGGGCTATCATCTTGTCAATGTACAAGAGATATAAACTTAACCACATAATTAGGGGACAGTAATAAATGAATGCAAGGTAAAGAGCAGGGGATTCTGATGATCTGTGGTTCTGTAGGAGAAGAGTAGCTTATAAAACAATCATTCTATGATAAGTGTTTGCATGATTTATATAGTGGATACACGTTTGTATGCATAAATGCTGTAGATATTGCCACGGTTTGGACATGGCTTGAGCACATCCCTTAAAGAACCTTGGCAGAAAGGAAAGGTGCTGGGACTTTAAAAGGTGGGGCTTGATGGGAGGCAATTAGGTCATTGCCCTCTGGACTGATTAATGCGGATTTCTCTAGTAAATTAGCATGAGTTGTTGTATGAAGAACAGAGTTATCCTTCCCTGCTCTCAGGCTTCCTGTCTCATCGCGGGACTTTACTAGTTCCTCCAACTCCAGAGGACTAGTTAGGAACACTTGAGGTCAGGGAGGGTGATAGGCGCTTACTCATGTCTTCCCCTCCAGAGTTTTTGGAATGAGTAGGTTAATGAGTAAGTATCCTCTTATACATATGGATCAAATATGGTTCCTTGTACAAAGGGGAAAAAAGCTCAGTCACTACTGAGCGACACTTCTGCGCCAGTAGAGGTGCGCGCCAGCTGGGGTTGCACGCTATGACTTTGCTGTTGTTAGTTTAAACAACCGAAGTCGGCAAACTCATCTCTACACTGCTTCTCCCAGCCCCAGGAAGAAGATGGATAAAAACATGAAAGCCTTGAGGCACCAGAGGAAGGCAGTACAAGCTGCGGTATTCACTGGAGAAAACAGCATGGAGCCCGGGGCTTATATGTCAGCCCCGCCTTTCCCGCCTCCTCGCTACCTTCCCTCGGCCTAGCCTTTCTCTCCTGATTATTTTTTATATTCCAGAGCCTCTCTATGTAAATTCATATTCCATAAATCTCAAAGCTTTCCTTCTGTTTCAGAACAGGAGGCTGAACAAGATATATACCCTCCCCCCCCCTCTCTCTCTCTAACAGCAAATGACATCCACCCATCAATCGATCTACTTCTTTTTAACAGCAGGTTTCTCTTTGTGGAGTCATGCAGACTCCAGAAGTCTGTCCTGGTTCTTTCTCTCCTTGTAACTCACCATCCACTCCTTTAAATTCAGAGAGCTCGCTTCCTTTTCCCACAGATTTATCTAGTCTCTGTCATTCTTAAACCACCACTGTCTCCAGACCCCATGTATTTCCGGCCTGCCACAGCTGGAATTTAATGCGCTAATCAGATTTTGCTGTGCGTCCTCACACTGTGTTCCTCCACCACCCTCTCTGCCTTCTTCACTTTTATCTTTCCATCCTCACCTTCATGGAACACGGGTCTACTAAATGGGGTCCAGTGCAATTTCTGGCACCCAATAAATCTAAATTTTCAAGCTTGGGAAGCTAGGCTTACCCACTGGCACCCAGATAAATGAGTCCTCGACAAGAAACCTACACTGCCCATTACTCTCTGCTGAAACCCCGACAGAGGGCCCAGCAAGTCAAAATCCCCTCTTTACTCTTCACTTCCCAGAACAGAACACGTCCCTGCCCTCAATGTAGGGACTTCCACTTTCATTTCTGTGGTCCTCTCTTCTCTCCATAGGTGCTGGGTGAGGCAACAGCATCCCAGCCAGTATCTAGCTGGTTCAACTTCTTCTCCCTCTTGGTGCCTCTAACTGAGACTTAACACCTAACACACAAGTCCCCTCTGCTCAACAAAGAATTGTCTGTATGCTTTCTATCAGGAAGTGACCATGAAGGCTAATATAAACCCTGAAGTACCAGGAGTGATGCTCCAACACCCTAAACTAGCTCTTCCATCTAGTTAACAAGGGACCTCTAGTTATCCATGGAAGGATTGAAGAAGGGTTGCTGAGGTTGGAGCCCCTTGAAACCAGGCCAGCTTCTTAAAACACTGTCGTGAAAAGGAACCAAGAACCAGGGCTGTGGGGAGCAAGCCGAGTGAGGCCACAATCTGCTTTCAAGAGGTCGGGGATATTTGTATTTATTTATGTGTTATTTTGCCTTGAGAAATCACCACCTCTCACTTTGCCAGCTTCCTGCTTCTCTACAGTAAAAATCCATGCCAACAAATCTTATAAACCGCTCTCAATAGTTCAGTGATCTGAGGACAGTTCCTCCTCTGGCCTCTTGCTGGTCTATTGCTGAAAATCCAATCAGAAATGATAATTCTCCAAGGCAAATATCTTTAAAACAAAGTACCTGTTTTGCGCTTCTGTGGAATAAAGAAAGAGATCAAGCTGACACTGGTTAGCTGTACGAACCAGTGTGGCTAGCCTACTGGACTGTTAGTTAAGCACTAATCCAAGGGATGTTTGCGATGGTATTGCGGACATGCGCTCACCAGCTATCTTTACAATATATTTGAGTTGCAAAAGATTACCTTTGATCATGTTGGTGGCAGTGATGGTGGTTTGAATGAGAAATGTCCACCATGGTCTTGAACAGTTAAATATTTGGTCCTCAGTTGGTGGTGTAGCTTGGGAGGTTTAGGAGTGTGGCACCCAAAGGCCAATATAAAGGATGCTTTTCCTCAGTTGAGGCTCCTTCCTCCCAGATACTATGTCAAGTTGACAGCTGAAGCTAAGGATGACTCTATCTAT